GTGTGTGTGAGAGAGAGAGAGAGAGAGAGAGAGAGAGAGAGAGCACGCGCTAAGGGAGGGCTCCCCCACCCCTTGCGGCCCATACTGATTTCATTCCTTCTCCCCCTAGCAATCTGCAAACTGGGTGGGATGTTTTTTCAATTTTTAATGCATCATCATCATCTTATAATTATTATTTTTATTATTATTATTATTATTATTATTATTATTATTATTATTATTATTATTACTACATCTTTGGGGAGATTCACAGCCTTTGGGGCTGATTGGTAGCTGAACAGCTCGAGTCCTAACTGAGGACCTAGGAACAGTTCAGGTAGCGTCGGAGGATATAACCTGTTCCACGTAGGGTGGCTTTTTTTGTAGAATCGGGGTATTCCAAGTCTGATAAATTCAGGATTTCCAAATAGCGAGGCAGCCCTTTAGGTATGGCTCCAAGGGCTCCGTTTACAATGGGGATAACACACGGTTTCTTTTTCCAAAGTCGCTCAACTTCCATTTGTAATTTGTTGTTGTTGTTGTTATTATTATGTATTAGTATTAATATTAGTATTTTGCTTTTATATGTATCTATGAAAGATTAATAATAACAACTACTTGTGTTCATTAAACATGAAAGTCAACTGAAGATTTAAAAATGTATCACAAATATCGACATCCCAGCCAGGATGCTTTAAGAGGGGAGGACTTCCTCTCCAAGAATTCCCCAGCCAGTCTACTTTAAGAGAGGTGGGCTTCCACTCCCAGAATCCCCCAGCCAGGATGCTTTAAGAGGGGTGGACTTCCACTCCCAGAATCCCCCAGCCAGCCATGCTTTAAGAGGGGAGGACTTCCACTCCCAGAATTCCCCAGCCAGGATGCTTTAAGAGGGGAGAACTTCCACTCCCAGAATTCCCCAGCCAGGATGCTTTAAGAGGGGAGGGCTTCCACTCCCAGTATCCCTCAGCCAGGATGCTTTAAGAGGGGAGGACTTCCACTCCCAGAATCCTCCAGCCAGCCTGCTTTAAGAGGGGAGGACTTCCACTCCCAGAATCCCCCAGCCAGCAGGTTTTAAGATGGCTGGACTTCCACTCCCAGAATCCCCCAGCCAGCCTGCTTTAAGAGGGGTGGACTTTCACTCCCAGAATCCCCCAGCCAGCCTGCTTAATCCTCTTAGTTGCTCTTCTCTGCCCTTTTTCCAAAATCTCAACATCTTTTTTGTACTGCAGGGACCAAAACTGGATGCAGAATATTCCAGGTGTGGTCCTTACTAAGGCTTTACAAAGCGGGTGCTAATACTTCAGCTGATTTTGGTTCTATCCTCTGTTTAGACAACCAAGGATCATATTAGCTTGTTTTGGGCTGCTGCCACACACTTCTGGCTCGTGTGACTGTTTTTGAGCCAGGTTTCGCCTAATCTGTACTTATACCTTTGCTTTTTCCTGCGCAGGTATAAAAACCTTGCTTTCCTCCACATGAAATTTCACGTTGTTGGAGAGGGCCCATTATATGAAGTCTGTCAAGATCTGATAGTGATTTCACCCCTTTTTTTTTTGAACTGAAAGCGTGCCAAATCGAAGCAACAAACCGCACAATTCAAAACTTCGTGCCCTATGCCCTCCTTCTGCCCACAGCCTCTACACAAACCCGGAAACAATCTGAACACAACGACTGCAGTAATAACAATGACCAGCAACACACACCGTACTGAAAACAACACAAGGAAGGCCGCCACGCTTAACCCACTGAAAACGTGAAACGTTCAGAGTCAGGAACGCACGGAACAACAACAAAAAATAAATGCAAAAGGTAAATCTGGCAGAAATAATATCTCACTGATACCTCTCGAGTTAAAATGTGACCCTTGGTAATTAAGGTTGGTGGTTATTCATTAACCAGGTAAAAGCTTCAGCGGAATTCATCAAAATCTGGTGCTTGTAGTTGGAGGACTCAATTTAGAGAGTGAGGAAAGAGGAGACGTGAATTAGCGTGCTGAATTGCAAACTCCGAACATGGTTACCTGCTCACCAGGTATAGAGGAAATGACCTTGACGGAAATATATAAGGAGTACTAACACCAAGAGAAAAGGGAGGAAGACTCCAGCCTTGGGAAGTGGGTTGGAGTAGAAGGCCTTCAAGATCTCTTCCGGCCCTAAGGCCTTGCTGATTTAAAAGGGGTGGACTTCCACTCCCAGAATTCCCCAGCCAGCATGTTTTAAGAGGTGTGGATTTCAACTCCCAGAATTCCCAAACCAGCATGTTTTAAGAGGGGTGGATTTCAACTCCCAGAATTCCCAAACCAGCATGCTTTAAGAGGGGTGGATTTCTACTCCCAGAATTCCCCAGCCCGCATGTTTTAAAAGGGGTGGATTTCAACTCCCAGAATTCCCCAGCCCGCATGTTTTAAGAGGGGTGGATTTCAACTCCCAGAATTCCCCAGCCCGCATGCTTTAAGAGGGGTGGATTTCAACTCCCAGAATTCCCCTGACAGCATGTTTTAAGAGGGGTGGATTTCAACTCCCAGAATTCCCAAACCTGCCTGTTTTAAGAGGGGCAGATTTCCACTCCCAGAATTCCCCAGCCAGCATGCTTTAAGAGGGGTGGATTTCAACTCCCGGAATTCCCAAACCTGCATGTTTTAAGAGGGGTAGATTTCCACTCCCAGAATTCCCCAGCCAGCATGTTTTAAGAGGGGTGGATTTCAACTCCCGGAATTCCCAAACCAGCATGTTTTAAAAGGGGTGGATTTCCACTCCCAGAATCCCCAAATCAGCATGATTTAAGAGGGGTGGATTTCCAGCCTAGGCAGGAAACCCTACACCACTTCAGACAAACGGTTGTCCAATCTCTTCTTAAAAACTTTCAGTGTTGGAGCGTTCACAACTTCTGGAGGAGGCAAGTAGTTGCACCGGTTAATTGTTCTCCAAGTTCTTTCAAAATTAAACTAAATTTAAAAGTTCTCCAAGAATATAATTTTTCAGGAGGATTTTTTCTGACCAAGAGTGACTGGCTGTGTCATTTTTCAGCTAACTGAGAATAATTTACTGCGGCGTCACCACCACGGACACGACAAACGTGAGATCATTTTTTCTGACCGTTGCCCCTTTGAGAAACTGTTCAAAAAAATCTGATTTTCTTGCTTGTTTTTTTTCCCCCAAAAAAGGAACAATCCCACCCACTCATCTCCCAAATCCCAAGGGGTAGAATAGAAATAACGAGAGTTGGAAGGGACCCCGGAGGTCTTCTAGTCCACCCCCTTGCCCAGGCAGGAAAGCCTACACCCCTTCAGACAAATGGCTATCCAACATCTTTTTTAAAAGTTCCAGTGTGGGAGCATTCACAACTTCTGGAGGAAAGTTGTTCCATCTTGGCCTGATACAGGTGAATACATTCCAAAAGGAAGCACAATTTTTTTAAAAAAGCCTTTTCCACTGTCAGAACACCAGGGACTAGAAACTCCGAACGCAACTCACCTGGTTTCTCCCTCGCCGCTTGCCGTAGTTCCGTCGCACGAGGGCTTTATAGTTCTCGTTTTTCTTGGTCAAGTAGTAATACAAGACGCAGTCCGGCACGTTCTGGAAAAGGCCAATGGGGAGACTGTTTTTAAAATAAGGAACTTTTCCTAAAAGCCGACGCAAGGCGAGACTCTTGTCTAACCTTCTGCGCAACAAACCACGATGTGCAAATAAACAGAGACCGCAGGACATCCGTTTCCCATCGGATGTTAGGGGGAAATATTTTTTTTTCTTGGTCACTAAGAGCAGCTGGAATCACCGGCCCAAATAAGGGTTGTTGAGGTAATTCCCCGTTAGGAGAATGAGCGCATACAGGGAGACGTATTTGAGAGGAGTGTTGGAATAATACACACACAGCACACAGATACACTGTACAGTAAATGTAGGTTTTTACTTCCAGAAACGTTAGGCAAAGTCCAAAATAGGCAGTCCAAAGTCATTCACAAGTTAAATCAGTCAGTTTTTCAATCCAGGGATAATCCAGTAACAAAGTCCAGTGTCAAAAACAGTTCAGTATTAGACTTACATTAAATCTATGAATATCAGTCAATTAGAAGAAATGGAGGAAACAGCAATACTTTCCAACAGAAGGAAACAGAGATACACTCACACTCTCTTCTGAGACTCAGACTAAAACAACCCAGGTTTCTGGCTCCATCTTATGGCCATTTGAGAAACCACACCGAATTACAGTTTTGCATTTTCTTAAAGATACAGTTTTAAAATGTTTATCCTGGTTTATATATTTCTAACCCAAATAGCTGTTAGGCGACTCATATTCCTAACATTCTCCCCTTTGGGTAAGACAATATATACAACCTTACATTCTAAGTCCATAATCTTCACAGCTAGTCTTATGCTTTATGGAGCCTTGGGCCTTTGTAAAATGATCTGCTATATTGTTTTCTGACATACAGTATTCTAGCTTAATCATTTTAATTTGCACACATTGTCTCACATTTAAATATCTTAAATCTGTGGGTTTCGTTCTTGTTTTATCAGCAATATTTGAAACCATCTGTATTGCTGATTGGTTGTCTTCGTAAACAACAATAGGATCTGTTATATTAATTCCCGTATCAATTAATAATTCTTTATACAAAATTAAATCTGTACAATAAAAAAGACAAACATGACAATTCAGCCTCCATTGTTGACAAACTTAGATGTTTCTGTCTAATAGATCTCCATCCAATAAATGCTTTCCCCAATAATACAGCAGTACCTGATGTAGATTTTCATGTATTTATGTCTGTAGCAAAACTTGCATCAGCATATGCAGTTAAATTCAGTTCATCATTTGGCTCCAAGCACAATGCATAATGCGTTGTCTGTTTCAGATATCTTAACACACACAGCTTTCCAGAGCCTTTCAGTCAGCTCAGTGTTAAATCTTGCTAATTGATTAACACAGTATGCGATATCTGTCCTTGACCAATCACTGAGATAAGATAAACTACCAATCAAGGACTGATAAATGTTTTTATCAAAAATAGGACTTTGAACATCACTATGGCTAAACTCCTGGCTCATTGGTGTCTTAGCTAGTTTACAAAGTTCCATTTTAAAACTTTTTAGTAATTGGTTAATTTTATCTGCCTGTGAGATCTTGTATCCTCCCCTAGTTCTATCTATCTTTAAACCAAGATATTGTTTGATTTCTCCTAATTGTTTTATTTTAAATTTCTTTTCCAAGAGTGAGATTGTTTTAGTAGCTTCTTGTTCAGTTTTGGTGATTAATGCTACGTCATCAGTAAATAATAACAATAATGAAACTACACCATTGCTTTCTCTTTTAAACAAACATGGATCAGCCATGCCAGCTACAAAGCCTATCTTAGTTAATTCTTTAACTATACATTGGTTCCACTCATATCCTGATTGCTTCAAACTATAAAGACTCTTTTTCAATTTCCAGCAATCATTATTATCAGTATTATCATTTTTGAGACCTAAAGGTTTCTTTAAATATATAGTGTGTTGAAATGGTGCATGCAGATATGCCGTTTCTACATCCAAATGATTTATAATATATTTCTCCTTAGCTGCCCACACTGATGCTGCCCTTAATGTGGTAGCCTTCAGACCAGGTGCAAACACCTCATCGTAGTCATTTGCTGTCTTATTGAACCCTTGTGCTACTAAAACTGGCTTTATGGGTAACAATCCCATCTACACCTGTCTTAAGCTTATATATCCATTTACATCCGATGGCATGTTTACCTGGTGGTAACTTAATATTTTCGTATACCTCCAGTCTTTTTAAAGATTCTAGTTCCTTGTCCATTGCTTTCTGCCAAGCAGCCTGATCCTTAGCAGGATACAGTTTTAGTTCACTATAATTACTTGGAATTGTATTCACTTGGCATACAACACTAGCCTGATATCTATCAGGTGGTCGTGTTACTCAGGTTGAACGTCTTGGTAATACAGGGCTAACTGGTGGACTTTCCTGTGCCACCTGTTCTTCTATTACCTCCTGTTCTTCCTCTTTAATGGCTATTTGTTGTTTACTGATATCATCTTTAGGGACTATTTGGGTGTCAATAATAATATCATTGCTGGATTCCTGTTCCAGTTTATCCCACCCAACGTGCT